ACATTACAGTATTGTTTTATGTTAAAAAATCTGAGGGTTTAATGTCACTTTAAGGTCTGGACTCTGTGGTGGCCAATCCATGTAAGTAAATGATGTCTCATGTTCCCTGAACCACTCTTACAATCTGAGCCGATGAATCCTGGCATTGTCATCTTGGAATATGCCCAATGTGCCATCAGGGAAGAAAAAATCCATTGATGGAAAAACCTGGTCATTCAGTATATTCAGGGAGACAGCTGACCTCATTTTGTGGGGACATAACGTTGCTGAACCTAGACCTGACCAACCGAAGCAAAACCAGATTGTGCCGCCCCAATGGGGCATAGAAGTTTATTGAGATAGAAGGTTTATATAGATTGTTTTCCCTATACCTTTTCCTATGGACGTTTTATATGTCTAGTTCTTATGCTGCCATCTAGTGGCCTTTGTGATATTGCACCTGTTTTTCTGTATGACAGTTGCTCTGTATGTAAGCCCCACCCCTCGTTTTTGTTGTCAGTTTTCCTGTGTCATGGCAACAGCTAACAGCCACATGTAATCAGGAGAAATGTACTCTGCATAGTACGCTAGGAAAGGCATCATTTTTTGACCGCACAATACTGAAACCATTCATCTGCGGTTCCTATCATCTGCTGTAACCCTGATGTTAAAAAATAAAGCACCTCTTTTGGATGAAACGGTATTGACTAGTTCAGCTATCTGACAAGGATTGTCCGCAGTGAGTATATCTGCTTATACAGGCCAGGCATAGAGGTCTCAGCAAGGGATATATCGCTATCACAACAATCGGAGTCAGAATACAGATCATATCACTTATCCAATGGAAGGCTCTTAGCGATTTGCTTAACTAAATCCAGGTGGTGACTTTTTGGGGCCATGCAATGCATATTTGGTTTATGGTAGGAACACATCTTTGTAATATTTTTGGTTATTACAATAATAAAGTGCATTACATGGCATTCAATGGTCTGTTATTGTGATGCATGACCTCTTTTTTGCGCCTTTCCTTGTGTTGTTGTCATCAGTACATGGCTTTGGTTTAGCACACGGAATGGTACACGTTTGGAATCGCAGGGTATTTCACCAAAGATACGTTTGTCTATTTCCACTGCCGAGAAAAAGCATGTTTTACCTTTATACGCCACTGAGAACTTGAGAAAGCATTGGGAGAGCCGGAAAGTTTACAAATTCCATGAATCACTGTGTTTATTAAATGTAAATTCATTTAGGTGTCGGTTATTGGTGAGTGCTACAACTGTTTGTTTATTGGAGACCGAAAACCAAATCAGTCAAACAATTTCTCTTTGTTCAAACCTTCGTTGCCATGGAAACTGCTTTACACTTATCATACGGTCCTCCTCTCAGCTATAAAGTTTCCCTTGAAGCTCTCATGGCACCCCCACTGGCTGTCAAGCATGAAAGTGGTCTGGACGTTCTTTACTCATGGCACCTCCTACACTAAATGTGTGCTAATGCTACACTGCAGTATGATATGGAGGGTAATAAAGAGACAATTGAATGTTTCATGCCGATAACGCTAACCCACTTCCTTGCAAACAGCTGCAGCATTGTCAGCCTGGTGTGTGCATTCCTTCAGTTAACTAGTGGGCTGCCTACCAGGACTATTAGAAGGGCATCACAATGGCCAACTAAAAGCAGAACTACAGCAAAGGAAGAACTTAGCCTTTATTGGGATTGCAGTTGTCATGGAGCTGCACATGTGATCATCTATGACACCAGCCATTTAAGGAATTGAAAGTTTAGTTAAGAGCTGAAATAAGCACACTGTCAACCTTGACAGTTGGCATGCCTTGAATGCAAGGTCATCCATATAATGAGGCAGCCTGAGGTGGTTGCCTGAGGCAGCATCTCTTTGGGGGGGTGGTTGGGTGGTGGTGAGTTGCAGCAGGTGGGCAGCCACAGCGTCCCATGTTGCTAAGATCTCTTACCAACCTGTGGTGCTCTCCCACCCAGCTCACTGATGTTACCGGTTGCTTAAAAGTGGGTGGGACAGAGCGTCCCGCCAAGCTCCTGGCAACCAGTGACGTCAGTGAGCTGGGCGGGACACCAGACCCACCAGCCGCCATAGCATAGGGATGGCCCTGCTTAAAAGTAACTGTTTTATAAGACATTACATTGGTGGGTAAAGTACCTCTTTTTAAAGCATATCTAAATCAAAAAAAATTGTAATACATTGTAGCTTAAAGGATACGTTCACCTTTTGCAAAAATTAACGACATGCATAATTAATAATATATATAAAAATCTGCATTTCTTTAATATTTGCATTCAAGCCTGGAAAGCATTGCAATTGTGATCACTCGATCAGGGCTGGAAAGCTCAGGCTTCTACACATTCTCTCCCAGGCAGAGCTCATACTGAGGTATGGAGTTTCAGTTAGGAGAGATGGGAAGGACGGCTGGACTTCAACTGCATTAAATCACCTCATACAGCGTCCAGCCATCCTCGCTCTAGGTAGAGCTGCCCATATTCCCACATCTACCTAGCGCGACATTCTCTCCCAGGCAGAGTATGAGCTCTGCCTGGGAGAGAATGTGCAGAAGCCTGAGCTTTCCAGCTGTGATCGAGTGATCTGCTATTCTTTCCAGGCTTGAATGCAAATATTAAAGTAATGCATATGTGTTTATATATATATATATATACATACAATCCTTTAATGAGTTGACTACATTAGTTTTCTTTGTGCCATTGACTCCAATGCACCGCCACGCCTCCTCCCGCCCCTGAATGCAGGTGTTTTTTCGTTGGTAGATCTCAATGAGCTCGTCATTTGAAAAGTAGATCTCCAGGCGAAAAATTGTGGACTGTAGAGCTTCATTTTTCTGCACACCACCATATATGGACTGAATAGGGAACATAGAAAATAATAGTTTTCTATGTGCCCGGGTTTGCACCGTACATGTGTGGTGGTGTGCGGAAAAATGCAGCTCAACGAACATGGTGTGGACAAGTCCTTATCAATAGACCTCTAAATCTACCTTTGATCATTTCTTTAATTATAGCTCTCAACTGCTGAATACAGAGTTGCATCATTCATCAGGTAGCCATTGCTGCAGCTCACAATCCAAAATATACATCAAGAGCATAGAACTTGATAGTATGTAGGTTTACCAGTGGTGTAAACCCAGAACAGAGTTCATTACATAGTTACATAGTATTTGAGGTTAAATAAAGACACAGGTCCATCAAAGTCAATCTTTATGTGTAAGTGTGTATAGTGTGTGCGTGTGTGTATGCGAGTCCCTTTGTGGTCTTAGGTTTTAAGAGTACCTGTACCCCTCTAGGTTACGGTCTCTGAGGAAGGTATCTAATTGATTTTTTAAAGATTCAGTACTCTCTGCTGATACCACTGCTTGTGGCAGAGAGTTCCAAAATGTAACCACTCTGACTAAGAAGAAGCCCCTACGCCCTTTGTGGTTAAATCTTTTCTCCACCAGTTTTAGGTGGTGGCCTCTAGTCCTTGTTAGGGAGTTTACTGTAAAAAGTTTATTGCAGCTGTTGCCATCTCCACATTAAAATCATGTCCCCTCTTAAACGCCTCACCCTTCTCTGGACTCTCTCCAGTTCCAGGACATCCCTTCTGTGGATTGGTGACGAAAACTGAACCGCATACTCCAGATGAGGCCAGACCAGTGATCTATAAAGTGGCAAAATTATTGCTTTGTCTCTAGAGTACATTCCCTCTTTAATCCTTCGTAAAAGTACTTGTTCCCCAACATAATTGCAACCAAAATGTTATATGTTCATTTACATGTATACATGCTTGGCATGGTCACCTGTGCATTTTAATTCCATTCACTGTCACACTGTAAAGATTGTTTCTGGACAACGGCTTTGCCAAAGCCAAACCACACATACAACCTCAAGCAACTTCATAATGTTTAAAGGTCAAAGTAACTCCCTAGTTATGGGTGGAAGGGATAAAGATAGGCCAATAATCAAACCTGTACCCCTGTCTGCCATCTACGTACTGAAAGCTGAGAGCTCCTGGTCCAGTCTTTGTCCAGACCAAAGTAGCAGAATAAAAAAAAAAAATAGAAAGCAAGGTAGAGGTAAGGGAAAGAAAATGTATGGAGATTCTAGATAGATACCTTGTGCTGAAGTGGTAGTAAAAAAAAAAGGAAGATGAATAGTAGGAGGAAAGCAAGAGCAATTTCCCCATGTCCATATGACTAATGAGACAGCATTCCCCAAATCAGACTACTTTGTGCCTCAGTGGAATAAAAGATCTGGTGTTCATGTTCACACTTGCACAGTAGGGTCAATAAAAGCAAGCCTGTCAGCTATTTTTAATGTTTGAACGCAAAAGTCCTGCCTTACAGTAGACATCACAGGTCTCCTGCTATCACCCTAAATGGGAAAATGCTTGTCTGTGTTTTGCTCTAAAACTAGTTTCACTTGTATGCCTACTTCTCTGACATCAGGACAAAAGTCTCTCCCCTATTGGTTTCTAAGGAGTTCTCTTAAGTCATAGGAAGGCAGCTGGTAGGGTATTCAGGCCGCTAGTAACCCAGTGGAGCTAGTTTTATAAAGGCACATATCGCAGGAACCTTAGGTAGGATTTTTACTTTTAAAAGTGTTAATTGGATGAATAATATTATGGAATTGTGAGAGGAAAATGAAATCCACACGAAAACTGGTAGAACTTCCAAACCCCTATGGTCCCTACAAGTCCACCAGGACCTAAATGCCATACAGTGATAAACCCTGTAATGCTACGAAAACGGGTATGCTATGCAAAAACAAATGACCAATGTTCATCCAAGCCAATGTGGTTATTTAAGAAATATGCAATACAAAAATTGCTTGGTCAAGAAGATCTAAGTTATACATTGCCTTATCTTATTGATTTTAGCACCTGTTATGTCCCTTCATAGGCCTTTCAGTTCTTTAAAGGCATTATTAAAAGAGGGTAATAACAGTATACATTATATAACTGGTTCGTTATCAATATCATTTTTCAGTAAGACATTTCTTACCTTCAGTGTGCACAGCAGACACATACGTCCAGTTGTACCTTTTGACAATATCCACCATGGCTCTTGCTTGTTGAGCGTCAGAAGGAACTACCCTCATGAAATACTTATACAAGGTCTTGTCGCTTAGATCCATGCTTGTGGCCGAATAAGCAATCTGAGGTATATTGAAAAGTTGTAACAAATTCTGGACTTGAATGGCCACTGAGCTGGATCCAGGCCCTATAACTCCAACGATGGGCTTCTTTGCATGGAATGCCGAAGAAGATCCATCAACACAACGGACCAGCCCTTCCTCTTCCTCAGAAGAGACCAATGAGTCCCTAATAAATTCAATACTCTGTTCCAAAGCTACAGCAGAATGCCAGCAAGAATCGCGTATTTCACATCCGAGGGTTATGTTTGGCAAAAGGTTGGGATCAGCATTGATTCTGTCAAGAGCGTGCAACATGGCTTCCACTCGTTGAATACCATACTGCTCTCTTATCTCTCCACATTTCCTTTCATGAACCTTCTCAACTGTAGGCTGGTGATGAACTGAAAAGAGAGCCCCAATAATGATGTCCCCTGACATATGGGCCACCACACGTCTTTCATTTGTTTGTGCCGATGCTGAAATCCCAGATCCATCCTCCTTTAAAACCAGCAGCACCGTCAAAATGTAAGGCAGCATTTTAGAATACAAATTATACTAGAGAGGAGAGCATGGTGAAGGAAAATGTTTTCAAAGCGATCAACTTTCTATGCCTTGTTTGATAACTCTCCATGCACTACTTCCCACCATTAAAAATTCGTCCTTCCTGGACCAACGACCATCTATGTAGATCTTCAAAATCAGTCCAAATTGTCATTCCCTGAAACACAGAAGATGAGATTACACTCAATGGCTATACATGGTGACCATTTAAATGGTTTAAAGTGTATCTAAAACAAAGAAAATGTTTGGAACAGAAGTGTAAATGTCAAGCATTGTAACACACAAAATATAGATTCACAACAATAGGAAGGACCAGGGGGGAGCTACATTTCAGTATAAGAGGTAGAAATGTCCATCTTTCATGTAAGATCTTCTCATAGAGGCAGATCCATGAAGTTCAGCTTGAAAAAGTAGCGATGCAACAAAGAGTCAATAAAACAGTGCAATAACAACAACCCAATTCATAAGGAAAAAGGGATTACCAATTAAAAGGAAGCAAAAAGAACAAGTAAAGAGAGATAGGGGGTAAGAAAAAAGGAAAATAAAGAAGTAGGAGAGAAAAAGAGAAGAAAAGCTATGCATTGGGATAGGGATAGCAAGGAGAGCACCAGTTCGCAGTAGCAGAAAAAAGTTTGTGTGTGCCAAAGTTACGTGAAAAATATTAAAAAGAAAAAAATGTCTACATAGGAGGGATGATCCAGAATAGAGCGGTCAGGCAAAAACAAGAGGACTAACTGGTTAGTAAGCAAATTACTAATTTACAAGGAGTCTTTATAAACTATCCAAACTGTCCAAAACCGTTGGAATTTTTTTAATGGTGTTATTATCAATGGCCACTAACTCCTCCAAATGCATAACTCCATTTACAATGTTAAGCCATTATAACATTCATGGTGGGCAAGTAGATTTCCAGTGTCTAGTGATTGCCTGTTGCTCCACAAAAAGTAAAAAATATAAAATAGACTGCTTGGCCAAAGACAGAGATTGGTACACAGTTACATAGTTTTTGAGGTTGAATAAAGACACAGGTCCATCAAGTTCAACCTTCGTGTGTCTGTGTGTGTTTGTGCGTGTGTGTGTGTGTGTGTGTGTGTGTGTATATAGGAGTCCCTGTGTGGTCTAGTTTTTAAGAGTACCTGCACCCCTGTATGTTACTGTCTCTGAGGAAGGTATCTAAATGATTTTTGAATGATTCAATACTCTCTGCTGATACCACGGCTTGTGGCAGAGAGTTCCAAAATGTAACCGCTCTAACTGAGAAGAAGCCCCTATGCCCTTTGTGGTTAAATCTTTTCTCCACCAGTTTTAGGTGGTGGCCTCTAGTCCTTGTTAGGGAGTTTACAGTAAACAGTTTATTGCTGATGTTGCCATCTCCTTTAAACATTTTGTACACCGTGGAAGCAAGGTCAAAAGTGTTAGCTCAGCAGTATTCTCAATACTTTTTCTGTCATCTTTTAATTGATGTCTGTGTTACCTTTAAGGAGAGTCACCCTCTCGAAATTCCTGGTAGCCATGGTTACTTCGACTGCAAATGGGTGAAAATTCAAATATTTTAGTTTTCACCACAATAGGATTATATGGGGATATCTTCTATTGGAGACACTTGTTCTGATGAAAACTGTCTGGGAGGGGATTCCCTCGCTTTGAAGAAACATTCTCGTAGTTCCTTTCGGGTCTACAGGACGAGAAGGGAGGGGGAATCTGCTTATGAGCACACAGATGGCAAAGGTAAAAACTTACAAAAATAAAAGGGGGGTTGACCCCTACGGCACACTCAACGGTTCATTTTGTGATCAGAGCTGTGCATATTTCTCCACGGAGTCTCTAAAACTTGTGTTAAACCAGCTATGATCCTATATAAGCTTTAAAGTGACATTAAAGTCACATCCACCCATACTGCTTCAAGGACTTGCCTTAAATGATGCCTTTTGAGCCGATCATCATCTTCTTTCTGGTAGTTTTCAGGAGTCCTCCAGCGCTGGTGTCAGTCTCTGACTGCTGTCTTCTGTGTCCCTCGGAGTCTATCTGCGTTCACGCTCCCGGCTGCATGCATTAACTTACATTGCGTCTATCCTCTTCTCCCTGCCGAAGTTCTCTACTGCGCATGCACCCGCTCCATCATGCTGCTCGGCCACTTGAGAATCTTCAGATCTTCAGACTGAAGCGAGCGGTGGAGACAGAGGTAAGTGAAACCCTTTTTGGTAACTTTTTTTTTATGTTTTTGCATATACTGTATCTACTGCTAACAAGCAGTAGATATATGCAAAAAAAATAGAGTTTAATTATATTTTAACATGTTTTGTTAATTGAAGCAAGGAGTATTAACCCCTTTGTGACTGACGACGTACAGTGTACGTCGCCAGCATCGGGGCTGTACTGAGGTTTTAATGTCACTTTAAGTCACATATCAACTAGACTTGTTCTGTAATGTTAAAAACATTTTCCGACTTCTCACAGCCATTTCTTTAGTTGTAATGAGTGCCAGGAACATACCCCGGATGGGAAGAAGCTTCTTGGAGAAGCTGCAAAAACAGCTTCAACGTTACAGCACAAATCCTCTTGAATGTGACCAACTACTACTAAATATACCATGACCTGGATAACTGAGAACCTTCACAGAAAAATTGTTTATGTATTTTTAAAAGTAAATTTTCAGTATTTCAAAATGTTGCTCGAATTAAAATAACACCTGGTGATGCTGCTATGAAGGTCTTTGTTTAGGCACTTCCTGTAATAGTGTAACAAGCTCTCCCAATTGTTCGTCTACATTGCCACCCTGTCACATGTTCTCCAAGCGTACAAAGGGCTATTCTAAAATATTGCACAGGCATGGTCCACTGTTGTCACCATCAGGAAATGTGGACAGGACGTGGCTTCGAGGAGACTTACAGCAATTAGGTGAAACAAATGTGAATTTTTTCCTTTTTTATGGTAATTGTTACACAAACTAATATATCATTTAGTTGGGGTTTACATCTAAGTCTTTCACTTAGTCACAGTGGCATCACAAGGGGAATGAGGGTGGGGTGACTCGCACTGAGTGACACCATCAGAGGGAGTGACAACAAAATGACTAATGGTCATTTTTGGTGTCACCCCCTCTGAAAAATCGGGCACTCAGTTACTGCACAAGAGATCAGGGGACCCAACAGCAAACCTTATCCCGCCAGATGAACGTCCCTTCCAGCCTCCATCACCAAAAATGCCAGCCTCCATCACCAAAATGACTGCCGGCAGTGAAGTGCACATGACTTCAATACGCGCATGTGTAATGACATCATGCATACACCTTATGACATGAGCACCGGGTGACACCCGGCCTGGTGACGTCCCTGCTCAGTCAGTCTTCCTATTTTGGCAACACCCCCCATCATTTGTCATCAACCCCCCTTCCCATGGATCCACATCTGCCCACTGAACACACGCCTGTCACCATGACCAGACCTCACGGCAACATCACCAGGAGATCACCACCATTGTGCCCATCTATTCCATCACACGTGAGTGCCCAATTTCCATTCCCCCTTCCCTTTACCTCGATTTAGTGTTATTCCCTGGTCAATCTCCTTCCACACAGTCTGTGCCAGTTAGTTGCGCTCCTTCCCTCTCCTTTTTTCTGTGTTCCCTTGTGTAATATCTTTTCAGGTCAAATATAATGTAATACTATATTATAACCACTAAATGGAGTTGATACTTATTTCCTATGCTGCGTAGCTCCATCCAGTGGCCGTATTGCGGTATTACATTATATTCGACCTGAAAAGAAAACATACTAAGAACATTCATATTTGTCTCTATTCGCTCACAACCAGCATACAAGATCGGCAGGATGAATTACTCTGCAAATTGATTATAAATAGACCCCTATCAGTTGTTGTTGATGAATACCTCAAATGAATATCATATATTTTGCCGGACACACCCTTTAGAAGGAATTTGTGCAGGTGAGAAATGGCTGCAAAGAAGTTAAAATGGAACACAAAAGTCTTAGCTACCCTGGAAAGTCCCTTTAATCTCACCAAAAAAACTGAACTGAATATAAAAGGTCAAGTTGTGGTGAAAAAAAATAACCCCTCAGTGATGCACAGCTGTGGACTTTGTAAAGTAGGAGGTATGAGAAGGTCACTTCTAATAAAATATGTAATAATTACATTTAAAATCCTGTATACATTCTGTATCCATGCGAAAAATGTAAAGGTCATCATCCATTGTCGAGATTGGATTATAGGAAAAGAAAGACAAATCTCTAGAGGTGCCATTTCAGGGAGCAAAGAGGCTATTACCAATAACTGCATTTCTTTTATATAGCATCATAAAAAATGTAAGAGTATATTATATTATTATTTTTTTTACAGTGGAAGTTAACTGGAAACATTTAAATATTGGGAGCAGGCAGATTCTTTATTGCAGGAGAGACCTGCTATGTGTCTTCTGCAATGAAACTGACTTACCTGCCTGATCATAGTCTTCTTCAGCATGCACAGCTCAGTGTACATTTTTAACATACGTTGGTGCCGGAATTAAAGGGAAATTGTACCTTTTAGAAGAAATAATAAATGCACACATCTTCATAAAAGAAAAAATGCACTGGAGCCAGTAAAGCATTGCAACCCCGATTAGTGGATGTCAGCAACATTACCCTCTGGCGCATGCGCCAAGTCCCGCTCGAAGAACTCTTACGTGCACGCGCATAACGCAGACTTCCCATAGGAAAACGCACCAAATGGCGCACTGGAAGTGACGCACTTAATCGTTCTACTTCCTTATTTAAACCCGGCCTATACATCAATGGATTGCTGGATTGTCTTCAGCCCCTCCCTGTGCTTTAGTATCCTGTGATTCCCTATCCCTGTGAACTGCCTGTCTCCTGGATTTTGACCCGATACCTTGCCTCGACTACTCTTCATCGCTGCCCGCCACTGACCTTGGACTGATTACTGGACTTGTCCCTGCCTGATCCCTCTGTACTGTCTACGCTCTCCTGGTTTTGACCTCGGCTTGTTTTGACCCTGATTTCTGGATTACCCCAGCTCAGCCACAGAAGCAACCTTCTGCTTGCACGGTTTCAACACCACTGGCACCCGTGCCACTCGCTGTCCGCCAGGTCTCAGTCTCCACCTCCAGAGGCCTCAGGACACAAGGTGCAAGGGAAGCCTC